AGAGACCATCCTGGTCAACACGGTGAAACCCCGTCTCTACTAAAAATACAAAAAAAAAAATTAGCTGGGCATGGTGGCACGTGCCTGTAATCCAATCCCAGCTACTCAGGAGGCTGAGGCAGGAGAATTGCCTGAACCCAGGAGGCGGAGGTGGCGGTGAGCTGAGATCGCGCCATTGCACTCCAGCCTGGGTAACAAGAGCAAAAACTCCGTCCCCCCCCCAAAAAAAAAAAAAAAAAAAAGAAATTTCCAGCTGCGTGTGATAGCTCAGGCCTGTAATCCTAGCACTTTAGGAGGCCGAAGTGGGAGGATTGCTCAGGCCAGGAGCTCAAGACAAGCCTACACAACATAGTGAGACCCCATCTCTACAGAAAAAAATCTTAAAATTAGCTGGGTACGGTGGTGTGTGCCTGAAGTCCCAGCTAGTTGGAAGGCTGAGGCAAGAGGAACACTAGAGCCCAGGAGTGTGAGGCTGCAGTGAGCCTGCACCATTACACTCCAGCCTGGGGTACAAAGCAAGACTTGTCTTGGAAACAAACAAACAAAAAATTCCCAAAGTGATTTTGATACACACGAAAGCTTGAAGAACAGTGTGGTTTTCCTGGACTCCTGATGGTTCCCAAGGAAGCTGTGTATTTCTACACCCCTCCTATGTGCCCCATGCTATCCCACTGCCTGAGCCACTTTCCACTCAGTCCTTCCTATGCATGCATAAGCAGCATCATCTCTTGGGTGTGCTTCCACTAAATGAACTCCTACTCTTCCTTCAAGACCCGGTTACACATCACTTCTTGCCCAAAACTTTTCCTGAACCTTTGCAGAGGAATGAATTTTTCCCAGGTAACAAAAAATACCATGCAACCATCAAAGAGAATGAGGCATGGAAAAGTAACCATATTTTTAGAGGAAAAAGAAAGTCACAGAATGTTTCTATTTTGATTGTTTTTCTTTAGATGACTGTACAAATAGTTATATATAGGTTGAATATGTACATAGAAAGGTCTGAGGAATACACATAGCTGGTAACAGGAAACTTTTAAATTTTATACACATCTGTATTTTTTAAATGTACATGCTATTTTGTAATATTTTGAATTTAATTACAATGAGAGTAATTACCAAGAGAGTAATTGCTTGAGTATTTATAGGGAAGAATCAATTGCTCTGACCGCCCTTGTATATCATGTTATGGTTGCGTGTGTTTCCCTCCACTGTTCAGCTGTGAGCTTCTGAATGGCAAGGCATTCAGGCCATTATTCTGCCTGTCACCAGTGTTTAGCACTTCCCTGACACTCAGTGGGTACGCACCATATACAGATTTTAGGGATGCTTAATTGATCAGCCCCAGGGGTGGCCAAGTCTGCCACTGAGGTACAGCCTATGGTCAGTTGGCAAGGCTAGTCTTTGTAGAAAGACAGTAGCAGGAAGGAAGTGATAGTGGTGGGTGGACCAATACTGCGTGTAGCCTCCACCACAAAAGACATAGTTTGGTGGTGGTGATAGGGAAAAGAGGACTTTGCTAGTGACAATTGGCTACAAATGGTCTGTGGGTCACTGCCACTTGCTTTCTTAAATCCCTATTCCAGTTCTATAATCAGTGTCTGCCTGCTCCAAAGTAATTCCTACTCTTTTTCAAAACAATAAGATTCCATATTCACTTTATAAAGCCCCACATAAATAAAAGAAATTGGCTTATTTTCACACAGTTTGTCCCCTTTCTATTTCTATCCTTTCAGAATCCTGCAATGATGAGATTGCCTAAGTGGTCTCTCTGGAAGTCCCTGGCAACTTCTAGGTACCCCTTCCATGTTGCATTTGTATATCAGACTCTCAAACTCCAAATTAGCCAAGATGTAAATGGGTAACAACTGTCTATGTTCTCTCTATTCCACCAAAAGCATGGGGCATTCCTCCTCTCCTCTTATTGAAATAACTGATGTAAATCATGCTAAACTTTGCACCTTGACCTCCTTAGGCCACACATGTGGAAATTGATTCCCTGCCCTTCACCACCATATCCTTTGTGCCAAATTCCTAAGAGAGATTGGATGTGTATAATTTTTTAATCTCATGATTTTGGAAAATCAGAAACTATTATTACTCTATAAGGGAGAAGAATAAATGAGGTGTGTTCACATTTATTATATGTAAATCTAAATGCTATAGCAATACCTTTTGACAGAAATGTAATTTTAAAGTCACGTTTTAGGAAAAGCATAGTACTCATTCTCACTGACTAATGTTATCAGATAATTTTTTTAAAATCCTGACCTATTCTAAGAGTTTGGAATGGATGTTTGAGGGGAGGAGAAGACAGGCCACTCAGCAAACATTAAGCACCTACTTTGGCCATGCTTTTGATTTTAAAAATGACGCATGTAAGACACTGCCTCATCCCTGCCACTGAATTAATGTTATAGTTTTAATATACCCCGCAGTGATCATGAAATGTGGTATGCATTCCATAAAACTGGAATCAAATAAGGATCGATTGCATCTTACTCATCGGTATCCTTGTGAAGACCGTGTAGGCCAGAAGTGAGAAGATTATTTGAAATCCTTCTGTTTCCGACATGGAGTGTTGATTCTGTATAATGTGTTGCTTCTCTCCTGAGAAATTCAGGGTTCTGTTTTATTTCCTGTTGCACATGTTGTACTTCCATGCCCTTTTTATATTCTGCTGCTTTCCCTAGTTTCAATTTAGTCATAGGGATTCTATAGCTCTCACTGTTCCTTTCTCTGGAAATACCATGCATGTTGTAACTGGACGACCTTAATGAGGTAAAATATTAGGACATTATTAGCCGGGCACAATGGCTCACGCCTGTAATCCCAACACTTTGGGAGGCCAAGGTGGGTGGATCACCTCAGGTAAGGAGTTCAAGACTAGCCTGGCTAACATGATGAAACCCTGCCTCTACTAAAATACAAAAAATTAGCTTGGCATGGTGGTGGGCACCTGTAATCCCAGCTAGTTGGGAGGCTGAGGCAGGAGAGCTGCTTGAACCCAGGACGCGGTTGCAGTGAGCCAAGATCACACCACTGCACTCCAGCCTGGGCAACAAGAGTGGAACTCCATCTCAAAAAAAAAATTTGGACATTATTAAAATACAACCAGAAACTGGTTTGTTAAAGCACCTTTCTTAGCTATTTGTTCTATCATCAGTCACTTCAGTCTGTTTGGTATCAAAATTACAGAGTCCCCCACCATATTATGCCAGTTTCTCTACTCAGAGCTTCAGCCCTTCTCCAGGTCACAGAAGTTGTTCCAGGGATAAAAACACTTCCTCTTAAGGGAAAGTTCTGGGGAGGTCAGGAGGATGTATAGCTCCTGCCTGATGTCCCTAACACTTCAGTTGGTGACTAAACTCTTGCTGTGGATGTGACTCCCTTCCTGTGAGATTGCCAGGTTGAAGACCAGCTGAGGAGTCATCTGCCCCTTTCTCAGCCTTACCAACTTGATTTTTGCTGGATTTAGGAAATAGGACAGTTCTGGTTTGTTTATTTATTTTATTTTTATTTTTTTTTTTTTTAGAGACGGGGTTTCACCATGTTGGCCACGAGGGTCTCGATCTCCTGACCTCGTAATATGCCTGCCTTGTCCTCCCAAAGTGCTGGGATTACAGATGTGAGCCACCGCACCCAGTTCTGGTTCTTTACCCTACTACCGTAGGCCCTGCTTGGTCATGACCATTAATTGGGTCCAAAAGTTCATGCTAGGCAGAAAAGCAAGGACTCACAATGGACGTCTTGAGAACCATGCTTCCTTGAGTAGGAGATGGGTTCTCCCACCAGACAGAGACTAATTGAGAAGATTGACGTTAAGGAATGCTTCCAGAATACCCCAGAATTTGGCTTGAACCCTAATCTTTGTAGGTGGGAGCTGTCCAACATTTCAGCATACTTTTGCATTTGCCTTCTTTGAAAGAAATGTGATGATAATCTGGCTGTCTTGACTGTTTAATTGTGTGCCATGTTCTAAGGAAACTGACACAATTCAGGATCTAGCCTCTCAGGTCTTTGGATCTGATAACTTAATTTATCAGCTTTTCTTGAGGTCACCAAGCCCTGATAAAACTGACATATTTATTTGCTTAGGCACATTTGTACCAGAAAGTCAATTTAATATACTTCTTCTCTGTATCATGGTGCCTTGAAATTTAGAAAGGTAACCAGAGCTTGGTTTATAAGCATGAAATCAAAGCAAATACAGTTGTAAGTTAAGAAATGATGTGTTATCCACACCATGGTTCAAGCTTGATTAATTATCCTGTCTACCAGAGGAGACATTATTCATCCTAGTGACCAGAATACCAATTCCAGCTAAACAGAGTGCTACTTCATTGAACAGTGTTATAGTTGCACTAACATAGTTTTCCTTTCTAACCATCTTTTTCTCTAGATTCCATAATAAGCCATCTCCTTTTTATAATTGCCATTACAATCAGCTTCTATATCCTGACATGTTATAGTTTGCCAAGTTTGTAGCTTATTTTACATTGATAAATTTTAAGTCAGTCCAGCTCTGTGACATCTAGGAAGACATAGTAGTTTTATTTACAATATCTCCAAATCACCCTATTTCTTCTGATAGGTAATCCTGTCTATAATATGTAGATACTTATTAACTCATTAGCGGGGATTGGCAGACATCTTTTTTTTTTTTTTTTTTAAAGAGACGAGTGATGTCTTACTCTGTCACTCAGGCTGGAGTGCAGTGGTGGGATCATGGCTCACTGCAGCCTTGAACTCCTGGGCTCAAGTGAACCTCCCGCCTCAGCCTCCCAAGTACCTAGGACTACAGGCACAAGCCACCATTCCCAGCTAATTTTGTTATTGTTGTTGTTCAAGACGGAATCTCACTATGTGGCCCAAGCTGGCAGACATTTTTTGTAAGGACCAAATAGTAAATATTTTATGCTTTGCTGGCCATATTGTCTCAAGTCAAAACTACTCTAGTCTGCTGTTGTAATATGAGAGCAACTATAGACACTAGGTAAACAAATGGGTGTGGCTGTGTTCCAATAAAACTTCTTGACTGAAAGGGAGCTCATAATTTGCCAGACCCTGCTTATTAGTCATAGTCACAGAGGGGGTGCTTGCTTATTCTTTCCTGGTTTTGCTGCAGTCCTATTTTATCCTAGATATTAATAGGATGTTTAAGTCTTCAAAAGTAGTTTCCGGCTGGGTGCAGTGGCTCAAGCCTGTAATCCCAGCACTTTGGGAGGCCGAGGCGGGTGGATCACGAGGTCAAGAGATCGAGACCATCCTGGTCAACATGGTGAAACCCCGTCTCTACTAAAAATACAAAAAAATTAGCTGGGCGTGGTGGTGCGTGCCTGTAATCCCAGCCACTCAGGAGGCTGAGGCAGGAGAATTGCCTGAACCCAGGAGGCGGAGGTTGCGGTGAGCCGAGATCGCGCCATTGCACTCCAGCCTGGGTAACATGAGTGAAACTCCGTCTCAAAAAAAAGAAAAAAAAAAAAAAAAAAGTAGTTTCCGCTCTTCCCCAAAAGGACTCAGAATCCTCAGAGAAATGCCTTGTTTCAAGACTGAGGCAGGGAAACTACAAGTTGATCCTGGAACAAATTCTTCCAGAAAGTAAGGACCTTCTCAAAGAATGATAGGATGTGTCAACAAGACACAAGAGCCAGCTGTAAGGGGCTCCCACTGACCAATACTAGGACACTTTGAACATCAAAATAAGCGATAATAATGTATTATAACCCTTTGAATAAAATAATAATCTATGAGTTTATACCGCTCTAAATAAATAAATGAAAAAATAAATAGAGGAAGAAGGGATAGCTCTTCCCTTATGATAGAGTTGAAAGTTAAGAACAGTTCTCAAGCAGGTTGGAGGGCAAATCAGAATGGGAACTTTTTCAAATACCTGAGGCTCTCTCTAAGAGGGGTGTGCGTGCACGGGTGTGTGTGTGTGTGTGTTTGTTTGTTTTGGAAAACCTCCCCAGAAGATAGTAATGGGCCATTTCTGTTTGGGGACCACTGATATTCTGGCCACAGAAAACAGTGGAAAGATAGCAGAGGGAAGTGTGTCTTAAGCCTGCTTGGTCCCTTCATGCCTGCCTATTGCCTCTATTCCTTATTATCCTCACCAATATATTTGGCCATCTTGGAACCTGGTGAGTCCAAAAGGAGGAGCTCTTGCCTCTGGGGTTGGTTCTTGGGTACCCAAGAAACAGATGAGACATTAGAAGATAGGAATTTTATTTTATTTTATTTATGTATTCATTTGTTTATTTATTTATTTTTGAAACAGGGGTCTTACTCTGTTACCCAGGCTGGAGTACAGTGGTGCAATCATAGCTCACTGCAGCCTGGATCTCCCAGGCTCCAGCCGGACCCTCCTCACTCAACCTCCTGAAAAACTGGGAATACAGGCATGCACCACCTTGCCCCACTAGTTTTTTTTATTTTTAATACAGATGAAGGCCTCACTATGTTGCCCACACTGGGCTGAATTCTGGGCTCAAGCAATCTTCCTGCCTCACCTCCCAAAGTGTTGGGATTGCAGGTGTGAGCCACCACACCCAGCTAACAGGAGTTTAATTTTTTCTTTTTTTGAGACGGAGTCTCGCTTTCTTGCCAGGTTGAAGTGCATGGTAGTGGAGCAATCTTGTCTCACTGCATCCATCTTCTGGGTTCGAGCGATTCTCCTGCCTCAGCCTCCTGAGTAGTTGAGCCTACAGGCACACGCCACTATGCCCAGCTAATTTTTGTATTTTTAGTAGAGACGGGGTTTCACAGTGTTGGCCAGGATGATCTCGATATCTTGACCTCATGATCCGCCCTCCTCAGCTTCCTAAAAGGCTGGGATTACAGGCGTGAGCCACCACGCCTGGCCAGGAGTTTTCTTAATTAGCAGAGACTAACCCCTACAAGGTTTCCTTTTAAACCCTTCAACTGAGGAACAGAAAAATACCTGGAGGGAAAGTATCTAGGGAAGAATTGGTTCTCACTTTCCAGGGAATCGTTGAGAGAGAAAAGACAAGCCCATTAGCAGAGAAATTAAAGTCAAGTTGTAAAGTAAGCATTTAAAATCTTTTTATTCTGTTTTGAACAAGTGTAGATATCTGGAGAATAAAGTTGTAGAAAACAAAGTTGTAAAATACATGATATTTGATCCCTGACTTCAAGGCACATACCTGTTTGGGAAGATGTTTGAAAAAAATTAAATGGCAATAGTATAAAGTAGCAGTCCCCAACCTTTTTGGCACCAGGGTTTCGTGGAAGACAGTTTTTCCATGGGTGGGGTAGCAGGTGGGGGTTGGTTTCAGGATGAAACTTCCACCTCAGATCATCAGGCATTACTTGGGTCAAGCTTGTCCAACCCACAGCCCATGGGCTGCATGGAGCCCAGGACAGCTTTGAATGTGGCCCAACACAAATTCGTAAACTTTTTTAAAACATCGAGTTTTTTTCCGATCTTTTTCAGCTTATCAGCTGTCATTAGTGTTAGTGTATTTTATGTGTGGCTCAAGACAGTTCTTCTTCCATTGTGACCCAGGGAAGCCAAAAGATTGGACATCCTGAGTTAGATTCTCATACGGAGCGCACAGCCTAGATTCCTCACATGCACAGTGTTCACAGTACAGTTTGTGCTCCTATGAGAACGAATGCTGCTGCTGATCTAACAGGAGGTGGAGCTCAGGCGGGAATGTTTGCTCTTGCTGTGCAGGTTAGTTCCTAACAGGCCATGGACCTGTACTAGTCTGCAGCCTGGGGGGTTGGGAATCCCAGGTATAAAGGATAGATGATAACTTAAATGTTGTGTAGCAGGGTATATATATGCTTAATCAGCAAATGAATTATGTAAATTCAGTATTCACTAAATGTAGAAGAGTAAGGAATTGCTGAAGGCTAGAGTGATCAACGAATAATAGAATTATGGTGTCTATTAGAAGGGACCTTAAAAAGTCACCTAAACATAAAATCTCATCTAGTCCAGCCTTCAATCTGTTTCTTGACCCCACTAGGACACACCCACAGGGTGTCATCAGCTTGAAGACCTGCCATGGTGGGACCTCACCCCTTCCTGGGGCAGATATGCTGCCTTTAACCAGCTCTACTGAGAAGGTTTGTTGTCAGTGGGTCAACATCTGTTTTTCTGTATCTTGAACACTTTGGTCACAGTTTTACAAATGCTGTGGTCACAGAAAGTAAGTGTAATCCTTACTCTTCCTCTGGTAGCCCTTAAGTCATTAAAGGCAGTTCTCATGTCATGCTGAGTTTTTCTTCTGTCTCTAAGCTAACCCCTTAGTTTCTCCAACAGGTCCTCGGCTGACCTAGATTGGAGCATATTCACTCCATTCACTGTCATGGTCTTTCTCCTTTAAACAGGCCTGCTTGTGAATGTTATTCTAAAAGTTTGCTGCACAGAACTGAAGTCAGCATTACAGGTGTGGTCTGATAAGCCCAGAGGGGAGCAATATTATCACTTTCCTTACTCTAGAGGAAGGACTTTATAACCAGATATCTAGTTTCAAATCAGTTCTGTTCTCACTTGCTGTGTTACCTTGGGCATGTTACTTAAGCTCTCTGAGCCTCAGTTCAGTTCTGCTAAGATCTGAGAACATTCCACGTGCTGGATGCCATGCCAGACAGTAGTGCTGAAAAAACTTAATCCCACCCCCTCAGGAAGCTCTTAGTGAAGTGGAGGAATAGACAGTGCTTCAGTGTTAGAAGTATGCCTACATAGTGTTACAGATGTACCCAGAAGGCTAGGCTAACCCAGCCCAGGGGAGGGGGCTGGAAGTCAGGAAAAATTTTCCAGAGGAGTTGACACATGAGAGAGTGCATGTCAGTGTAAAATCCATACATCTTTTGCTCACTGTCTTGCAAACCTTATGCTTTCTGCCAGATATCTTCCATTTGTTTTTTAAAATACAAATGCAGAACCTCATATGTATTTATTTGGAGGGTTTACCTTCTTCCCATAGCCTGTCACAGCACTTTGGTATCCTGATTCTGTCAGCTAGTGCTCACAGAATGGTGGGACATGAGCTTGGCCTTAAAAGGAGGACAGCATTCTAGTACAAGCCAAGGCGGGGAGGTATTCAGTATTAGGGAGACTGGCAGAAGGGAGAATGACAATCTGACTGAAGTGAGGGGCTTCTGGGTAGAGACATCAGAGAAAGGGTTTGGGGAAGAAGGAAGTGAAATTGATCCTATATACATTTGGTCTTGATCCTACAGAATAGAGATGTAGAGGGCCATTGGTGCTTAGCAGGAAGGGGTAATTTTTTTTTTTTTTTTTTTGAGACAGAGTCTCACTCCATCACCAGGCACCAGGCTGCAGTGCAGTGGCGCAACCTCGGCTCACTGCAACCTCCGCCTCCCAGGTTCAAGCAATTCTCCTGCCTCAGCCTCCCGAGTAGCTGGGACTACAGGTGTGCACCACCATGCCCAGCTAATTTTTTGTAATTTTAGTAGAGACAGGGTTTCACCATTTTGGCCAGGATGGTCTCGATCTCTTGACCTCGTGATCTTCCTGCCTCAGCCTCCCAAAGTGCTGGGATTACAGGCGTGAGCCACCGCGCCTGGCCCGAAGGGGTAATTAAAGCAGTGTTTTTGGAAAGTTTGTCTTGCAATGAGGAGCAAGAAAAGTTAAAAGAAAAGGGACTGGAGGCAGGAATACTATCCAGTCACAAAATGGCAACAACCCAGACAAGGATGCTGTCAGTGAGAATGGAAGGGAGAAGACAGATGAGAAAAATCAATGACTTGGCTGGGTGTGGTGGCTCATGCCTGTAATCCCAGCACTTTGGGAGACCGAGGTGAGCAGATCACCTGAGGTTGGGAGTTCAAGACCAGCTTGTCCAACATGGAGAAACTCCATCTCTACTAAAAATACAAAATTAGCCAGGCATGGTGATGCATGCCTGTAATCCTAGCTACTTAGGAGGCTGAGGCAGGAGAATCACTTGAACCTGGAAGGCGGAGGTTGTGGTGAGCTGAGATCGCGCCGTTACACTCCAGCCTGGGCAATAAGAGCGAAATTCTGTCTCAAAAAAAAAAAAAAGAAAAGAAAAGAAAAATCAATTACTTGATGACAGGTTGGCCAAAGCGAGAGGTAGGATTAGGGTCCAACTACATGCACTTGTAATGTGACATCTCATGGATTTATTTTGAAGATTTTTTAAAACAATTCTAATGGATAATACAAATTTGAAATATATATTAGCTCTAATATTTTACCATAAAACATTTCATTTTTTCCACATTATCATTACTAAGGTTTTCATTTCAATTCTGAATATAATTCTCAATATTTTACAACTGCAGTAGGGAAGAAAAAATATTGTTTTCAAACTACTTACCTTTCTACCAGTTCTCAGTTGTTGGTTCTTAAAAAATGACTTCACAAAAAAATTGTAAGATGCTAATAAATTTTCACTTAAATATATGGATGGCTCATTTTACAAATAAATATATGTGTTTGTATCACTATTATGCATCCCCTAGATAACAAAACAATAAAAGAAACTTTAGTAATATCAAGTAAGCACTGACCAGGTGAGTACTGTGAGACAAGTGTCATGAGAAGGTTCTTAGGGGTTGAAAAACATGATTTATATTCGGAGGACTCACCGTGGAGCGAAGGAGAGAGACCCGTGGACAGATAAGTACAGGGCAGGCTCCCGTGAGAGAGGACAGAGTTATGAGGCTGTGGAGACCCAGAATGTCCAACATTATGGCCCGATGAGGCGGGAAGACGGAAGTGGAAAGAGGAACAAGGGTAGAAGAGAACGGAGAAAAGTGAAAGACTTCAAGGAGGGAAAAGAATGAAGAAGAAAAGAGTTACAAGAAAAATAACTTGCCATTTTTTACACCTAATAATGTATGAATTACTTTCAGATTGATTATCTCATTTGATTCTGCCAAGAAGGCAAGAGTTGAGAGACAGGAGGAGGAGGAGGGAAGCAAGGCCCATGACCAGGAGAAGGAGCTGCATCACAAAGAACTCAGAGCCCCTGTGGCCTCCTGGTGCCCACTGCTGGAGATGGACCTCAGTGGCCCTGGTTAGAAGCCAGTGGGGCCTTTTAAACCAGAGCTCCAACTGGGAAGTCTGAACCTGCTGGACAGAAAGCAACAGAAGCCTTAAAGCGGTTATTTTGGCAACTATTGTCAAGGACTTGTTGCTGCCTGACCGCAAGATTTATGCAATTATTAATCTACCTTCTTTTATTTTTTAAATATTTTGGTTTTTTTCACATCACAAAAGTAAGACATATTCACTGCAGAAAATTTAGATAAACGCAAAGATGAAAATAAAAATCCCATATAACTGTACCATCAGACAGAACCACAATTATAATTTTAGAATATACTCTCACGTTTTTCTTCAATGACTGCTGGTATATTTTTGTTCTGTAATACAGTCATATGTTGCTTAATGATGGGGATACATTCTGAGAAATGTGTCTTGAGGTGATTTCGTCATTGTGCAAACACCATAGAGTGTACTCACCCAAACCTAGATGGTATTGCTTACTACATAACTAGACTATATAGCATCGCCTATTGCTCCTAGGCTACGAACTTGTACAGCATGTGACTGCACTGGATACTGTAGGCAATTGAAACATCATGGTTAGTATTTGAGTATCTAAACATATGGGCTGGGCATGGTGGCTCATGCCTGTAATCCCAGCACTTTAGGAGGCTGAGGTGGCAAGATCACTTGGAGTTCAGGAGTTAGAGGCAGCAGTGAGCCATGAGTATGCCACTGAACTCCAGCATGGGTGTGACAGAGTGAGACCCCACCATTCGTAGATAGATAGATAGATAGATGGATAATTGATACATAGACATATAATTGATTGATAGATAGATAGGTATGTAGAGCTAAACATAGAAAAGGTACAGTGAAGTATGATTGCACCACTGCACTCCAGCCTAGGAAACAAATCAAGATGCCTTCATTCACTCATAAATAAATAAATGTGTATATACATAGATACATACATAAAACTCAACAGAAAGGGTACAGTAAAAATATAGTATAATCTTATGGAACCACTAGCAGACACACAGTCTGTTGTTGACTTAAACATTGTGATGTGGTACATGACTGTTTTCCCCCCATTTGATGTACTATAAACATCTTTCCACGTCTTTATCAGTTGGGATTGTGTTGGGAAGTAACAGCAAACCCTGTTAACAGTGGCTTGAACAAATAATGGGGTATTTTGCTCAGGAGGCAGGAGTCTGGAAGTAGGAGGTCTAGGCTGGTGGAACAGCTCAAGGATGTTGCCAAGGACACTCCAGCTGTCTTAGGCGGCTGTGTTACTTTATGGTCTCAAGGTGGCTCCTAACTCTAAGGGAGGCTGAGAAAGCAGGCATTTTGTTTTACTGGCCTCTCCATCAGAGACAGGCAAGGCAGAAGGGTGTCGGGATGGGTGCTGAGTCACCCAGCCAGCAGTGCCAGCATCATTACATATTCTAGAACATCTCTCTTTTCAGAGTGGCATTGTTTGGATGTGTCACAATTTATTTATTCATTGTTGGACATTTTGGTGCTTTCCAGTTTGTCATTATTATAAACATGCTAATATCTAAAGTTTTACACATATCTATAGTGATTCAGTATGAAATTCCTAGAAGTAGAATTAAGATCAAAGAGCATATAAAATCTAAAGGCTTGGCCGGGCGCGGTGGCTCAAGCCTGTAATCCCAGCACTTTGGGAGGCCGAGGCGGGTGGATCACTAGGTCAAGAGATCGAGACCATCCTGGTCAACATGGTGAAACCCCGTCTCTACTAAAAATACAAAAAATTAGCTGGGCATGGTGGTGCGTGCCTGTAATCCCAGCTACTCAGGAGGCTGAGGCAGGAGAATTGCCTGAACCCAGGAGGCGGAGGTTGCGGTGAGCCGAGATCGCGCTATTGCACTCCAGCCTGGGTAACATGAGTGAAACTCCGTCTCAAAAAAAAAAAAAAAAAATCTAAAGGCTTTTAATCTTTCTTTTAACCAAATTGCCCTCCAAAATGTCTGTACTAAATTATATTCTCACCAGTCATGTTTAAAAGAGCCCATTTCCCTGTACCCTCCAAATCAGGATTTTGTTCTGTCACTAAGCTGTTATATACTGTGCCCATTAGTGTGGGTTTAACTTTGTAGTAGCCCTGACCAGACTCTGAACGGTCAATCTCAGAACCCGGAGCAGGGACCGGAGAGCCCTAGCCAGCCCGAACCCTTCTGTCTTGCACCTCGGGGTGTGAGTCTGCAGGCTGTCCTGTCACCCAGGCAGGCTGGTATGGGCCTTGTCCTGACTGGCACCGCAGAGGACCCATGGTGTTTCTTGTGACCATGCACCTCACTCCTCTATTCTTGTTTTGAAAGGCCTTTCTTCCACCATAAAGTCATCGTTTGTCCCACCTGAATCCTAATTCAAGGCCATCCTGGCTTGTCTTAGATTGAGATGCTCCTGGAAAATGGCCTCTTTTGATACAGTGCACCCCACATCCTCACA